CCCCCCCACCCCCTCCCTTAGATTGATGTGGCCAATATGTGTAAAAGAGTTATCTCCCTTCCATCACATTCCTTTTCAAGTGTTTTTATAAGTTTGTGCGAAATCTGGTAAAGTGAATGGAAAATTAAGATTTTGTTGTCATTTTCCTGCTCAATTTTGTTTTAATTCACGGAACTATCTGAAGTCTGTGCTTTCAGCAGCTACTTTTTTTTAAATTTGTTTTACACAGGAAGACACAATTTATTTGTCGTAGGTAGGGTCATATTATTAAATTTCTCCGTATACATGTACAATTTTTTTTCATCTGCATCTAATTTGTATTTTCACAGTTTTACGTTTTCTTATGTAATACAACAAACCATTGCATAGATCTGTTTATATTAATGATGCAGACACTTTTCCAGACTATAACATCAGACACATTTCCAGACTATAATATCAGACATATTTACTGTGATGTATTTTTGTCTAAAGAGTGAGGATTAAAACAAATCAAAGGTCAAATATATAGGTTTTTGTACCTTGTTTAATTCATAAGACGTACCATACTATCACAAAATGACATACAACATTGTGTATTATCAGCACATAAAAGCGAACTGACACAGGCTGTAGGAATGAATAGACAGGATGAACATATATTTTTATTTTTATTCATTTTTTCAAGCCTTTTTTGACATTTGCATAACATTAACACGACATATACATACACTCTAACACAAACAATTATAACAACTCATGTTTCAGCAAAACGCTCATCATCTTCACCATTGTCAACATCCTCATTATCATCATCATCATCATCATCATCATCATCATCATCATCATCATCATCATCATCATCATCATCCTCCTCCTTATCATCATTATCATCATCATCAACATCATCATCATCTCATCATTATTATCATCATCCTTGTCATGATAATCAAAACAACATGAGAATGGCCTCATTATCATCATGGCACTCAATCCTCATCACCATCATTTTTGTCATAACATCATCATCCATCGTCATCAACATCACAAAATAATAATATCAATTATCATCACCATTATATGAACATATATATATGTATACATCTAGATGGCCAGGCAAACAACACTGGGAAAACCTTACCATACATCTATGCACTATGTATAATATACATTGACTTTTGTAGAAATTTGAACATGTTTTTCTTTCAAAGTTCATTCCATAACACAGAAAATCCTTTCAACTGAATCATGATTTGTTCTTTCTTCTGGGCCATCATGTAACTGATTTTTTTATTATGATAACATAATTAAAAAGTACAGAGCTTCTGGACAGCAAAACTTAATAACATTGACGATAGTACACAAGTCTGTGATGAATGATGTATCAGTCGCTATAAATACATATTATCTCTTGATCCTGATGGCCCAACATGGGAGAAAGCACTAGTGAATGAGTCTTCTAACATATGTGATGGATGCAGACCTTTCCGCCTCTAAATCCATATCTATAGCTGTTTTATTCATTTATTTATTAAAGCTGTATACCAGGAAATTTTTGTCAAGACAAACTTTCGCCCTTAGCCAGAATAATTCATATTCACACAGTGATAATTCGAATTCACCCTTCACATCGTTATTATGTTGTTAACTATTGTTCTCTGTAATGATTTGTATTTATCACAGCAGGTGAAAAAGGCAAAAATTAAACTGCAGCCAAAATTTCTATTTCTGGTTTACAGTATTGTGCTGTTAACGTACAGACACAAATTTATTCCGGTATATATACACAATAAAACCTCACTTCATTTACATTAACTCATTCACCCCTGAAGACACATTTGAACTCTTCCAGTTCAAAGGTTGGAATAGTTCATTATGAAATTTCAGGGGTGAATAAGTTAGTTAATTAATTACTTTTTACTTTGTATCCCACATGCCCCACCTCCAAACTCATTCATTTATAATTGTCCATCAATGTATTGTCACACCCCTTTATAATGCCATTGTTTTGTTGGTGGCAGTTTAACAAGGTTTCACTTTCTATGCTGGTAGAACTAATATAATTTCTCACCCCCTTGGGGTTGAGATAGGGGAATCTCAACCTGAGGGGGAGATTTTTTAGTTGCCAAACATGAGGCTATGCCGAGTGTTTGGCAACTTAAGAATCTTTCCTTGAGGGTTGAGATTCCCCCATCTTACCCACAAGGGGGTGAATGATTCTTTTTCTCTTACCCCTTTCTTCCAATGTGTATCATATACACAATGTAATGATAATGTTACATGCGAACTTCAGGGTTGACGTGACCTCATTGTATTGTTGAAGCGACGTCATACCATTGTTATGAATAGGGGAATCCCCCCGTCTCAACCCTAGGGTGAGACAAGGAAATCTCACACCGGTCCGGTAAAAGGGAGGATACACCTGTCCAGGGTAAGCGAAATTTACACACACTTTATGTGATCATCATCACTATGTCAGTTGCTGAACTATTCTGATGTCTTTGAACATGCTTTTTCAAGTCCTCTCGTCGCATATACCCTTTCTCACAGAAACCACATTGGTGTGGTTTAACCCCAGTATGTACTGACATATGCATCTTTAAACCATTTGACTGGAAAAACGATTTACCACAAACACTACAGACATGCTCTCTCTCCTTCTTGTGTATTTTCATGTGACAATCAAGATTTCCTTTCCGAGTGAACAAAAGTCCACAGGTTTCACAGTGGAAAGGCTTTTCTCCAGTATGAGTCTTCATGTGCATCTTCAAAGTCCAAGATTTTGTGAAGTCTTTCTCGCAGACATTACATTTGAAAGGTCTTTCCAGTCCGACAATATGAGCCTTTTCATGAATACGAAGCGTGTTGGCTTGGGTGAAGCCTTTTCCACATATATCACACACATGCTTTTTTTCTCCTGTGTGTATTTTATGATGCAATCTTAAACTTCCAGCTTGTGTGAAACATTTTCTGCAAACGTCGCATTTGAAAGGTTTTTCTCCACTATGAATGTAACGATGCGTTTGTAGACTACATGCCTCCGTAAAAGACTTCCCACAAATTTCGCATTTGTGTAGTTTCTGTCCGGAATGTGATCGGATATGTCTCTGCTGATTACTGGATGTTGCAAATGTTTTATCACAAAGTGTGCATGCAAAAGGTTTTTCACCTGTGTGTGTCTTAGTGTGCATGTGTAAACTGCTGGACTGTGAAAACGACTTTAAACACACATCACATTTAAAAGGTTTTTCACCTGTATGGACTTTCATATGTGTTGCCAAACTCGTACTTTGTGTGAATTCCTTACCACATACAGAACACTGATGTGGTTTCTCTCCAGTATGTATAAGAATGTGAACTTTTAAATTACAGGCTACCCTGAATTCCTTTCCACAAATCCCACACGTATATGGATTTTCTCCCGTGTGGATTCTTGTATGACTTTTCAGATTTCCAGAGTTACTGAATCGTTTCCCACAAACTTGACACCTATATGATTGACTAGATGCACTTTTTGTGAGGTATTTCCACAACAGGTTAGGGTCACGGATGCTAGATTCATCTGTGACTGATCCAGATTTAGAATTCATGCCATTTTGAAGTTCCTCAGGGGTGTGGGTATTAAGGTGTGTCCACACATCAATCAAACTACTAAACCACTCCCCACAAATGCTGCACTCATTTAACTGACTAGCTGTATGGGACTGTAAATGGGTCCACAGCTCACTGGGTTCGTCACACTCCAGACCACACACACCACACTGGATCTCTGAAGATTCCATTTCTTGTTCACCAGGCTAAAAAATCAGTACCTGCCTTGTCCACATATCCATTCTAACATTCTTCTTCAATTAACATCTAAAATTATACAAAAAAATATTTTGGATTACAGGATGTTTATTTTCTATTTCCTTGGAAATCTCTATGAAGACTGTGATTACACTACAAAAGGGTGAAATGAAATGTGAATGGACAGAGACTAAATGATTGCTATAAAGGGTAAATTGGATATAAGGTGTAAGATTTTAGATGTTAATACTCCCAGTCTCATGATCGGTAGACTGATTTGGATGTGCATTTTAGAACACTAGATGGCCTGATTTACATAATTTTAAGGCACGTTAACGAGAGACTTCATGTGTAATAGGAGAGGCAAAATGCACGGCCAGTCCGGAGTCTGAACTCTAGACGGATGCTCTACCAATTGATCATGAGCTACCTAGTTGCTGAGGAATGACCCAGTCCAGTTCCGCTACATATGCATAAATAGGAATTTTATTAATCTTTTATTCCTGCCATTACATCATCTAGTCCGAGTTTCCTCTTAATTTCAAGCCCTGACACCAGACTTGGACATTTTGACAGATAGATGTCTGTTGTCAGGGCCAGAGGAAATTCGGGTTATACATCGTCGTTTAGCAGTGTACATATAATATGAAATATCTGACTAGATTCTTTTAGGATTTCATGATGAGGCAGTCGAGATACAAAATGTAGATTATATATGACTAAATATTTAAAGACAAGATTGTCAAGTTATTACGGACTAAATTAATTGCTGGAAAGGATTTTATCATATTGTTATCTAGTATTGTCATATAGTCGAAATCAGGAAATATGTCATAGTCAAGAAAAACTTTTATTTTCCTAATTTATTAAAAAAATATATCATCTAAATTTCCCCGATTCATGCAGGCACAATTAAATTGCTGTAAATCTTAGGTAGAAAAATACGGCCTGTTCTCATGACCAGTAGCTATAGGCGAAGGCATTTGTTTCTGCCATTAAAAAAAAACATTACAGTACCCTACTTATAAAATATCAGTAGGGTGTGATTTTTTTTCTCCTGACTATTTTTATTGACAGAAACAAATGACTTTGCCTGTAGGCCTCTTAATTTCATGCTACGTTGTAACTTGCATTGAGCACAAATATTAAAAAAATCTAACGTCTCATATGTTTCAGCTATATACTCAACCTTTTAAAACCTCTTTCTATCCGAAAACCTAGCCATAGCTACACTGAACAAGCAGAATTCCTAAAACGGAAACCGACTATGACTACTTAAGAAAAGAGTCGGAACTCTGGATTTTTTGTCCGGATGTGTTATCAATCACCTTCTTATCCCAGAGACATAAATATATACAGCATATAATGTAGTATATACGTATCTGCCTTACCATAAGTTAATAATTATAATAACCAATCACTATCTAATATGTTGAATGATTCGATTATGCACAAAAAACCAAGGTTACCGGTAATAAAATGACAGTATAAAATAGCAAGTGCAAAGGGAAAAAACTCTTATTACATGTTGCTGTTAAAATGACCAATCTGCATGATTTTAGTACACTTTAATATCCCCTTGTCTGTAAAACGTAAATACTAAACAAATATGAAGGACACCGAGTCTTTTTAAATAAAACAGAAGACAATTAAGTTCCTCAAGGATAATGTTTCTGTTCAACTCATCATCATTTCCCAGGTTTCGAACCACCATGTAAAATCTTGTCAAATTTTAAAATAATAAAGACTCCATGTAATTAATAACTCACTATGATACAGTTGGTTCTGTTTACGAAAAATGAGGGAATCCAGCACATTGCAGGATCAGTGTTGTTTTCCTGAGAGGTCTTCTGGACGTAAAAGGGCCTGGAAGGAAAACACCGATTCTGAGTCTGGAAAGTGCTTAATAATTGTATCATTGTACACTCCTCTTTGAAGCGATTTCTCTGATTGGCCAATGCGTTTAAAATTGTCACGCGTTACAAGTGACTTTTAACGCGTTACTATTACATTTGAAAAAGTAACGCGTTAAAAGCCTGTTTTAACGCGTTACCTTTTTAACGCGTTACTGTATATCGTTTTTGGCCCGAACCGCCACCCATACTATTCATAGAAGGTCTCTGGGTTTGTGGTTCAGGGTTATGATGATGCAGGGAAGTAAAGAGTTCTAGTAGATGTAAGTATTGACCGGGGTTTGTTCTAATTTCCATCTTGTATCTCCACCAGTTCATGCATCCACCTCTCTGACCTGTATGATTGAACCTACACCAACGTACAGTTTAGCCCGGTCCTTGACCAACTGGCTGCTAATGGTTTCCACTTCATGTTGTTCAGTATTGTCTGGTCCTTGACCATCTGTCTGCTAATGGTTCAATATGGCCTTATAAGTTACTTATTTCTGGAAGAGTAGTTATTTGTTAAAAGCCATGGCTTGTAGCCTGCTACAATGTATAAATGGTTCTCTCCTTAGCTTCCAACTGTTTGTCTTGGAAGCTATAGACTTCCTCAGTTATTCCGTTATGGGTCGAACGAGAGTTATACATACTTTGACCCAATAGGGAACCGTCGGCACTCTGGGGGCGAACGAGAGCTATATATACTTTGACCCAATAGGGAACCGTCGGCACTCTCCGTAAACGAAATATGCCAAAGGTTCCCGACCATCTTTGACCAAACCCCTCTGAGCATGTGTAGAGGTTCCTTCTGGGGAATCTTACCGAACCCGCTGCCTTCCACGATGTGGTACTGATTTGATCATAACAGACGACCCAGGCTGTTGCTAATGGTGAATCCTAGGTAGTTGCACTCCTCTATGCAAGTAGGATTCCATTCAGGCGATAGCTATATAGCTTATTTAACTGGTGTTCTTCCCACCCGTTACGTTTACGACGACACATTTATCTGCATTGAACGCCATTTGCCAGTCGTATGTCAAGAGTTTGTTTGATTGGAGTACAATAAAGGTCAAACGGAAACGGAAAGAGCATGTGCAGATCATCAGAGTCGCAATATTGTTAATATCTCTGGCAGAACTGATGCAAAGTTTAACACGACAAAGTAATCCGTCAAAGGGATGACGTATTTCAACTTTGTAGCTACCCCGATAGGCGGCACCACAGGGTTCTACCAACGCGATTGTTAACATCTTCCTGTCCGGGTTTTCATAGAAACTGGTAATATGCAGACCTTCCGTTCGAGTTCTAATTGTAATGGGATACCTTTACAGAAGTATCCCAAACTGACCCAATAGTCGCAAAGTTGGGAAATACATCTACATACCAAATTTGAGCAAAATCGATCAATATTTCATTTTGACTAATCAGAGGGCGTGGCGGCCTTCTTGGCTCACCGATCGGAAAATGAAATGTCATTTGCACAACCCCTTACCATCATGAACACTTGTGTCATTAGTTTCCGTCCAATAGGTTTTGAAAAATGTGTCGGAAACCTTTTAATGCGGAAGAAGAAGAAACGGAGTAAAACCAATAATTCTCCCACTTCGTTTGGGGGACTTTATATAACCAGCATGCTGATCGTAATGAATAGTCTGACGTTTGTAACCAATAATGTTTGTTTACTCAAAAACAAATAACTGTATCGGTGGGTTGGTCATGGCAGCACTATATATCAGCAATTTATGCTCAAATTGAAGGGGAACACATTCTATGCCTATACCATCAGCCCGAATTTCCTGGGCAGAAATGTGTTGCATTCGGATAAGAGTCTGCTCGCAAAAGGAATCTTCTTTTAACAATGGTCATTGCAAGGAGTGTAACATAATGCTGCTCTCCATTGAATGGATTGAAACCCAGGCCCTACTGTCAAGTACCCATGTGGATCATGCAACAAAGTATGCTCCAGCATGGCTCCACACACTGTGTACGGGAATGTTCACATTAGTGTATGAATCCCTCTCCGATACGTCAGGTTCATGGATATGCAGTAAGTGTGATGTCCCAAATCTTTCGACAGTGTTGTGTGAATTAACAATACCATTATCAAACTCGTTCTCCAACCTATCGTTACCTATAGAACTTAACATAACAGCGCTTAACAACCGGTGATCCACCGGCAAGCTGTTCCCATAAACGTTCACAACTTCAGCAAAACAAGCCTTATGACAATCTCAAAACTCAGAATATTGCAATGTTGAACAACAGGTGTAAAGTGATACTTCTCTGAATTCGATGATTGAAACCCGGGTCTTACTGTCAAATACCAATGTGGATCAAGCAACAAGGCACCCCGTTAGAGTGAAAAGAGTGCTGCATGCGACATTTATGATCAATGGTAGTCATTCGCAGAGCATCAAAGTATCTGACCTTCAAATTGCCACCAACTCTTGTAAACCATACATCATCATCGGTACAGAGACCTCGTTGAGAGGGGACATGATGTCATCGGAATTTATATATTCCACGCGAACTTGAAGTTAAAGACGTGATGGTGTTCCCATTTAAATGGCCACGAGACGTAACATAGCGAGTTCAACAGCCGTTATTGGGAAATCAGCTGAATAATCAGAAATCAGCCCCCCTATCAGCGGCCTATTGACTTCCAAACAGGACAGACGATGTTGATGCTATTTTTAACAATATCTCTGCAATCCGTTTCGAACACAGTTTTCATACCTTTTTCAAAGTGGAGACGACACATTCATTGAGGATCAGGTAAAGTACTGGAAAGACATTGACCTGTGTGAATGAAAGAAGTCTTCACCTACATGCAGAATGACATCACCATAGTGCAAACTGTATCCTTCAACAATCGAGGCAACAACACTCTTCGGCGCAACAACACTCTTCGGCGCAACAACACTCTTGACTTGTTCTCCACGTCACACCCTGTTGTCAAATACAAATTGCTCGTGGCCCTTGGATAAACCTTACTCTAGTGGCTTATCATCCGCAATCAAATCCAAGGAAGATCCATGTACGGGAGAGAGCAGACAAAACCAAAGGCAGCAGGAGACGGACCGAACGCCCATATTTCTAATATTGACAAAACAATATGTGGCGACATGCAGAAAAGCACGAAACAGGGTTAGATGTATTTTAAAAGGAAGCGACAGGATTCTCAGTGGTAATTCTACTCAGGATAGCAGATGGATTCCTACACAGCGTTACAGAATATGAGGCAGATATTCTCAACTAACAATTCACGCTGTCTATACTAAGAGATCACTAAATATACGTCAAACAAAGGACCAAATGCTTACTTTGGTATGAAACCAATTCAAAGAAGCAATATTGGAGTCCTGGAGATATTACAAAAACATCAACAGCAATAAAGCCATTGGACTAGATTGGATCCAAGAAGGATTTCTCCATGAATATGCGAATCATATGCCAAGGATATTTCAGATGTCACTGAATTACGAACTATTCTAGATAGCTAGCTATCTGCCTCAATAGTTCTAGACACCAGAGTTACCTTTGATATGCTCCACTCTTTTGCGTCGTCATTCAGGTCACTGCAAAGCATAGCACCATCAGTACAGAATACACACTTCACAACCACCAGCTTGTAGTTCCTAACGTTAGCTCATGTATGCTGAATGTCATTTGGAGTTGTTTTGTAGAATCTTCCAGTATCATTTCTGTATAAAACCTATTGGCGTGTAACCTTTCACGTTTCGTTTCTCTGTGGTAGTGCACAATTGCATAATTTTAGGTTGCCTTGCTTCAAAGTTCACATGTGTGATGCAATCTCCCTTCTACCCCTTTGATGACCTTACCTGCTCTCAATTTCCTCCCAGTCTTAGCCTTTACCTTTGTCTCCTTCACTTTCTCATTTTTACTGTCCAACAGTAAGAGCGCCTGAACTTTAAAGTTAACTGAAGCTTGGTTTCTGCTCCATAGAGTCATACGCTGTTAAAGCCCTTTGACCCTCTCATCAATCTGCTCAGATATCTAGTTGTCATCCCTGCCATTCCTCTACCGCTGTCACCACTGGGACATAATACACCAGAAGCGCCCATTACAGTCTTGGTAATACTCGGTGTAGATAAATTCAAGCCTTAAATCTTCCTGGCAGACCGTTCCAGTTCACAGATTTTAACCATTCCATTGCCTGTTTACAAATGATTGCTACTTTTGCCACATATGTCGGGGAGTCATCATAGACTTTCCCTAGACATCTGACTGACTTCTTTAAGACTGTTGGAATTGTCTCCCTTCCCATCTGGGACATCTTATCCTTGACACTTCACTTCTTCAGGACCAGGCTCCTCAATTAAGCTGGCTTGAACCTCTTGCC